AGCTTATGTGTGCCTCTTCTCCAACCCTTTTAGCCAGTTGTAATTGTTAGGGAGTTTTCCCTTTTCTATCAAGCTTGTATGTGCCTCTTCTCCAACCATTCAACTTTCACATGTTGTTTCCTTGTTCTGTCCTCTGACACTAAGCAGAACCAGTACATTCCTTCTTTTACACAATAGCCATTCAAATACTTGAAGACAGCTATTGTGTTTTCCCTAAGGCTTCTCCAGGCTAAACATTACCAGTTCCTTTAACTCAGACCTGCACAGCATTTGGCCCGTGGATCTGCTTGCGGCCACCAAAGGATTTCAGGCGGCCTACAAAAAATGTAGAGGATATAAAAGAAAGTAAAGATGTAATGAGTGCTTTGTCCATGCCCTGTTTCACCTGCCTTTCACCAGTCACTATTGTGCTTGTGCATGTAACTTGGTGGGTGGGTTACCACTGCATACTCTCTCCTGTTTGTCACATGACCTGAGGTAACCAACCATTTCTGTTCCGAAAGGAGCAAGAGTCTCTTTTCACTGTTTTCAGTCATTACTAAATGTAAACAGTAAGAAAACCTAAAAAATTTATTAAAACTTGTACTGCTTAGCGAAGTAAAATTTTAAAACATTAATGTGATTTCATGATAAAAATCTTAAATAATAAGCATAATTAATTGCTATTAATTGAAATTTCCCTTTTTAAAAATATGATTTATTTGCAAAATAGTTTAATCACCAATTATACCTTTACTTGGAAAGTGAGCCGCTAAAAACCTATCTGTGGCCCGAAGAAGTTTAGCCTATTTTAATTTTGGCCCCTACCTACTGCTAAGTCGTGCAGGTTTGTGTTAAGTGATTCTCATGATGTGACCTGGAAGCCTTTTGCTGTTGTGGGCGCCTTCACCTGAATTTTCTTCAGCTTCTCAGTGTCCTTGCTAAAATATGGTGACAAGCCTTGAACTCCGTCCTCTACTTTTATTATCTGACCAAAGTAGAGCAGAGTGGGACAATCATCTCCCTCATTTTGGATGCCTCTCCACCCAGCCTGGGATCATACTAGCCCTTTGGGGTACCATAACATACAGTTGATTCATATTGAGTTTGCAGTGCCCTAAAGTCCCTAGTCCTTTTTCAGACCAAGGGCTCTCTCTGGCTAGCCATGCCGCCTCCACCATCTTGTACTTGGGAGGTAGATTTTTGGAAACCCATGCATTTATCCCTATTCAATTATATCTTACTAGATTTGGCCTGGTGTTCTAACCTGTTGAGATCTTATTTGCACTTGAACCATCATCTAAAGAATTAGCTGTCTACCACTTTCAGCTTTCCTATCTGCAAATTTGAAGAGCATGTCCAGAAGACTAAGAGTTTATATTCCTTCAAGGTTGCTTCCTTTTTGTTTTTGAGGCGATGTGGGTAATGGGTAGAGTTCTGGTTTGGGAGTCTCAAGACCCTTCCAGTTCTGGTAATTCTACTTACCAGTTTTGTGACTTTGGGCATGTAACTTCATTTCATCTTTTTGGGACTCAGCTTCCTCATCTGGAAAATGGGCATAATAATCCTAGCTTAATCTATTTCCTAGATAGGATGTCAGGATCACTTTGTAAACAGGAATGTGTTTTGTTACCATAAAGCATTTAAATTGTTATTAAACCTTATCTTGCTATTTGTTGTTGATAACTTATGTAAACTTCATTGTTTAATAATAATAGCTAGCATCAATAGAGCATTTTAAGGTTTGCAAAGTATTGATCATATGTTATTTCATTTGATCCTTGAAACAGCTCCGTGAGGTGTGTACTGTTATTATTTCCATTTTACAGAGGAAGAGATTAAGGCTGAGAAAGGTTAGGCAGGATTCAAACTCAGGCCTTCTTGTCTCCAAGACTAGCAATGTAGCCATCATGACTCCTAGCTGCCTTTTTAGATACAGAAGAGTCAGCAGAGTGTAGTAGATAGAGTAGGTGTGGGGAACCTTCAGCCTCAAGGCCATATGTGGCCCTCTAGGTCCTCAAATGTGGCCCTCTGACTGAATCCAAACTTCACAGACCAAATCCCCTTGAATTCAGTTGAAAGGCCACACCCGAGGACCTAGAAGGCCACATGTGGCCTTGAGGCCGAAGGTTCCCCACCCCTGGGATAGAGTATTAGACTTGGTTTTAGGAAAAGTCAGGTTCAGACCCCACCTTAGACACTTATCAGCTGTGTGACCCTGGGCAAGTCCTTTAACCTCTCTGAGGCTCACTTCCCTTTTCTGTAAAAAGAGGGGTGCCTATGTCAGACAGTTGTGGCAATGAAGTGAGATCATAGATACGAAGTGCCATGGAAATCTTGTGGGGCTCTGTAAATGTCAGCTATTATTATTATTATTGTTATTACTGTAGCAGACTCATGTTTCTCCTAGGAGGTCACAGACTATTTTTTTAAGGCATTTTGAACTGGCTTTTTTTTTTTTTAATGTGGTTTCTTTGTAAGTTCTTTTGGTGACTGTACATTGAGTGCCTGATAAAATCTAAGTGTTCACCCTCCAGGGCCTTCCCTTCATCTGTGAAAGAAAGGCATTAGATCTCCTTGGCTGAATCTGTACCTCAGCTCTTAGCGGCTTATTAAACACAATGTTCCTAATGATGGTGTCTTCAGGCCAGGTGTACAATTATAGCACACCCCCCCCCCCCCCGCAACTTCCCCCTCACCCCCACCCCCAGTGCAGTTTTCCAGCCACCCTTTATGTTCAAGGGCCACTTATTTTTAATAGCCAGGAGGTGGGGGGGCATGGGGACTCAGGCTTTCAAGTAGAATTTTCCAGTTTGTCCTGATGGCCCCTAATATTTAAATTTATAGTACCACAGAATTTAGAGCTGGAAGGGAGTCTTAGAGATTGTCAAATCTACCCCCAGCCTCCTCATTTTATAGATGTTTATAAGACTGAGGCCCAGAGAGGGGAAGTCATTTGCCCAAGGGCAGATTTGAATCCAGGTCTTTCGACTACAAAGCCTATGCCCCTTCTGCTGTAGCACTCCCTGAATTTGGGCACCTGATTGTTTTATTCTGGAAGATGTGAAGCAGGGAAGCTGTAGAGTATTATCTGATCTCCCCAGCTGACCATGAACACCATTCTGTAGATGGCATCTGGCAGGCCCAACTGACTCAGCATGTACTCCTATAGCTGCTAAACACACTGCTCTTCCCTCCTCATGATGGTCAAACATGGTTGTTTACCAGTTGTGGGAATGTATAGGGTATGGTCTAGTGTTTTCTTCAAGAAAATCTCAAGGATTTTCTTCTTCTAAGTTGTTATATTAAGCAAAACATACAGCTCTGGAAGGTTCTGTCAAAGGGAATTATTTGATCCATTTTGGGCCAATAAGGCATTAGGATATCTAGGGTAAGGAGAGTTTGGTGTTTTTGGGGTTTTTTTTTTTTTTTTAGCAGTGGGAAGATGACTGAAAACATGTGGGTCATCCTGGGAGAGCCAGAATGAAGGGGTCTGATCAAAGTCTTGGAGAACCAGGAAATAGCGGATGAGCCTCCAGGGCAGGTTATAGGTCTGGTTTGGGGGAAATTGAATCCTGGTGAAGAGCAGAATGAGAGGCAGGGAGGTGTGTGTGTGTGTGTGTGTGTGTGTGTGTGTGTGTGTGCACACATGTCCTTGTAATGTCATAGAATTATAGGAATCATCTAGATGCATATCTGATCTTTGAGATTTAAAGCTTTGAAAATATCTAAATCAACCCTTCATTTAAAAAATGAGGAAACGGAGACCGTGATTAGGTGAATTGCCCAAGATCTCGCAGTTAGTAAGGAGCAGAGCTGGCATTTATCTGGGTTGTTCGATTATTTTTGGATGAGGTCACCACAGCCCAGAGCCCTCTGGTACCTTGCTGATTTAGTCATCAGATCAGGTGTGGTTTGCCCTTATCAAAGGAGATTTGACTCTGAAGCCTAATTCAACAAAAAGGGATTACTCTTCACTGTGGTAAAATACCTCTAAAGCTTGCTTTCCCTTGCGCTCTGTCTAGCTTATTTGCTCAGCTGCCTTGCTGGGAGACAGCTCAGTTTAAGGACTTGGGATGTATTGGTTTGGGTCCCACTAGAGGAGAATTCGACAGTGAAATGTAAACTGCTGTTGGTGATTGCTGACTTTGACAATTCCGTCCTTTAGGAATTTGTTGTAGGAGAAGACTGGGGCGGGGTAAGAGGTTAGTCATATATTTTGGGCTGGGGTGTGAGTTGAATTCATGGGTCACCCCTGCCTCAGTCCTCCCCCATCCCAACCCCCACAGATCCACATTTCCTCACTGACTAGTCTTCGAATTGCCTCCAGGTCAATGGCCTGTTCATGGACCTGTGCAAAATGGTTAGCTTTGGGGCTGGTGGAAGAGATTGAAGGGAAAGTGAGGGGTTCCCTCACTTTCATTCCCTCTGCCCTGCCAGTTTGGGGATTTGTTGTTTAACCACTCCTTCCTCATCCTCTCCTCTTGTCCTGCCTCTTTATTGGGGAGGGATCTGATGATGAAATTGGGGTTCAAGCACAGGCACCCAAGCACCCCATCAGAAGGGCTTGCAGGGTCAGGCAGTGGGACAGGGGTGGGGAACCTCTTTTTGCCCTTCTTGTGTTTCTGTATACAGGAGAAACTCAGGAGTAATGTAAACTTCTCAAGTGCCAAGTGCTTCTGTATTTCCCAGGCAGCAAGGTACCCCCTACCCCTACCCTGTTCTCCACAGGGTGCCTCACGGCAGCAGGAGTAGTTGGGGGAGATGTATGTTGGAGGAGGCGCAGGAGCCTGGTCTAGCCTCAGAGGGAGGCGATTGCTGGAGAAGAGGTTGGGGTGAACACAGATGTCGGACTCTGGGGAGGCCAGGTTAGGCGGTACCATGTGGTTCTAAGGTGTGGATTGCAGTGGTGACGCTATGACAGCAAAGCCCTCTAACCTCCCCTCTTTTTTCTGTCTCCCCACACTCCCAGTACCCTGGGCTTTGAGTCTTAAGGCTCCTAGAGGCATTACTGCATTGAAGGTAACAAGCATTTATTGAGGACCCACCAGCTACATATCGCTGATGTGGGTGGGAAGCAGGCAGGAAACATCTCAGGTACCTGCTCCTTAGTCACAGAGGAAAGAGACAGAAATGGGAAAGGGGACAAACGCTTGGGGGAATCAAGTTTGCCCCAAGGAGACACTTTTCTGAATACCACGAGGTTGGGCACAGTACTTGGGAGAAACCTGGGGATAGGTTGCTGGTACAAATATTCTTATACAAATACAAATCCACAATATGAAAATATCAATTGGGAAGATAAACCCAGGGTGATCCTTGTTCCATACAAGGATCCTTTGAAGTAACATTTGATTTATACCCAACTTTCCAGGGGCACAGAATGATCAGACACTCTCCCTAGACAGGAGGAGAAACTGACTTATCCCAACTGATGGCTTAGGGGACAGGAGGCTTTTTTTCCCAATGGGGGGATTTGGAGGGGCAGAGGTCGGGGGACCCTGCCTCAGCTAGACTGAAGATACTGACAGTGGGGTTTCTTTCCCCGGCTTGAGTGGATATAGCTTCTGGCCTTTCCAGTTCAAGGGCCAGGGGAGGAGGGAAGGAAGAGTGTTTTACAGAATCACAGGAGGTTAGACCTGGAGAGGGACCTTAAGACGTACAGGGAGTCATAGGATGTCAAAGGTGGAAGGAGCCCAAGAAATCATCTGCCGTGTTCTCAGAGGGGGGAAGGGGACCTGCTTGAGGGCACAGAGTGAGGAAATGGCAGAGCCAGAACTTGACCCCAGGGATATTTGCAAGCTTCTCTGCCCTTACCGTCTCAGCCCTACAGGTGGGCATGGGAGATGGTGACGATATGGCAGGAACTTTCCCTGGGTTCCCCTGGACCAGGATCCTGGGGGAAGATGAGGAAGAAAAGCAGAACAAATTTCTTTTTCATTCCCACAGCCATCTGGTAGAGCTGTGTCCTCACGTCTTTCTGCCAGTAGGCATAGATGAGCGGATTGAGGAGAGAGTTGCCCACACCAAGCAGCCACAGGTACTTGTAGAGCTGGCATTCCTGGCAGACAGCCTGCACAATTCCAGTGACGAGGAACGGGGCCCAGGACAGTGTGAAGCTCCCAATGAGTACAGCCACAGTTCGGAGGGCCTTGAGGTCCCCAGCAACCCTGGGGGAAGGACAATGGCCTTCTGGGGCTCCTGCATGCTCTATCTTGCGGATCTGCTCGGTGTGCAGGGAGGCAATCTTGAACATGTCACAGTAGAAGAAGACAAAGAGCAGCAGGGCCGGGAAGAACCCCCCACAGGACAGCGTCAGGATGAAACGGGGATGGAACACGGCAAAGAAGCTGCAAGGGCCTTGGTATGTGCCCTGCTGGAAGAAGGGCACCCACACTGGGAGGAAGCCAATGATGTAGGACACCAACCAGAGCCCAGCCACGCAGGTCCCAGCCAGCGGCCCGCTCATGATCCGGAAGTAGCGGAAGGGCCTCTTGATGGCCAGGTACCTGTCAAAGGCAATCAGCATCACGGTGAGGACTGAGGCTGCCGAGGAAGAGGTGACGAAGGCCATACGAAGGCTGCACAGGGCCCTCTGTGTTGAATGGGGTGGACCGGAGAGCTGGTCATTGATGAGGCCGGAGATGGACACGCCGATGAGGGTGTCAGCCACAGCCAGATTCAAGGTGAAGCAGAGGCTTATGCTGTCAGTCTTATGGATCAGCAGAAACACTGCCACAGCCACCAGTGCGTTGGTTGCGATGATGAGGCAGGCCAAGGTAGCAAGGATCACCCCAAAAGAAAAGGTGGAATCCATGGCTTCTGGTCACAAAGGGAGACTCACTCTCTGCTCTGGTGTCTTAGGATGCAGTGAGGGAAAGCCCCATGCCCTTGTGAGCCAACAGATCGCAAGAACTTCTCAGACCCACTCTCTGCTCCTCATTAAGGATCTTCTCACTGAGTTTTTCTTTTTCTACGGGGCTGGGTCACTGGCAGTTTCAGTCCTCTGACTCCCGCCTCCTCTGCTCTCTGAGGGCAACGATCTCAGTGCAGACTGGTCCTCCTCCCCCTACTCCCGCCCCCCACCTGGGCAAGTCCCTCCCCCTCCCATAACCAAGTTACTAGACAATTCCGAAGTACCTGGCACACACTGTCTCACTCTGACTCCCTGTCATCATTACTGCTTCAAGGGATGGGGCCGTTTGTCAAGTCTTGTGTCTGTTTGGAGATGCAATTGACTCTAATCAGGCTCGTTCCTCCTCCATAACATGAACTAAACTTCCGCTTCTTTTCTTCCCAAACCTCAAGTATTAGCAAAATAATTCTTCTTGGTTGCTATTATTAGCACCTTTCATCTAGCAATCAGGCGAGATGATCAGAAACAGCTGTATGGAGAAAGAGTCGTAGGCACACATGAGCTGCTTTCAGGGTCCAAGGTAATTTTCACAAGTACAATAGTTCAGTTGGAAGATTGGGTGACTTAAGTCACCCAGGAAAAAAGGACTAGATTCAAATCCTCGTTTCAGCATTTCTTAGCTTTGTGGCTCACACCCATTGAATTTGAGCCTCTCACTCCCCCTCCTTCCCCCAGCCTCATTTTCTTCATCCGTAATGGGGCGGAGGGAGGGATGATCCTTGAGTTACACAGTGAACCGGATTATTGTGAGCCACGAATGAGATCCTAGCTGTGAAGTGTGCTCTAACAGGACACAAGGGTACTACAGATGGACATATGGCCACGCTGGCGTGGCTGTTCCCATTTTTATTCCCTGTGCAGGTATAGATTGCAGTCCCTCCACAGCTTTTAACCCAATGTGATTGTTGTCCATTTCTTTTGGTAATTCCTCCAAGGAAGATCTGACTGTTTTGTGGGTACCAGGGCAGCATTTGGGCTAGCCATCTCTTATTCTTCCCTCTCACTATGTGACGAACCCATCTCCTCATTTGGTCACACATATGCATGTTCCCACTGAGATCTTTTATGCCATATACTATTAAGTGCTCTAGAAATACAGGCTCTGCTACCTACTAGCTGTATGACCTTGGTCAAGTCACTTTAGTTCTCTTAGCCACAATCTCCTCCTCTATAAAGCCAAGGGTTTGGACTAGATTGTTCCTAGTAGCTCCGGCCATCTATACCCCATATTGGAAAGTCCTTCTCAGCTCTGAATTTTGGGTCGTGTGAGGCAGGAAGTGGTGTCAAACTGAAGTAGAAATAGAGACCATTAAATGATACATAAGGACCTCTGAAGGCCTCACGCACACATTTATATATATATACATTTTTTTTTTGGGTAGCACAGCAACACATTAAAATCATATAGGAACTACATTTTAATCTGGTTCTGCCACACTCAAGAGTGTTGTGGTCCACAGGCTATGTGTTTGATGCCTCTGCTTTCAGGGATGACGATGACGATGAAGATGACAATGACAACACTTTTCTTCGGGTTGATTTCTTTGCATTCATTTTCCTGTTTCCCTTTTTCTTATGTTGTGGAACTCAGCCTCATTCTCTTCCCCCAAGGCTCTATCTAAGCACTTACAAGAAGGGGTTGCTATACTTGTCTTTCCAGATCTCCAAGGTCTGTGGATTAAGATGCGTGAGAGAAAGTAGACTCTTCTCTACTACTTGGAGGCAGCATTTCAGAGATGGGAGCTTAGCTAATCAGTGTCACTGAGAACAGTGAAATGGGTTCGGAGGAAAATACATGCTAATCATAATTCCCATTTCTCTAAGGCTCCGTGGTTACAAAGCACTTTACAACCGTTGTCTTGCTTGGGCCTCCCAACAGCCACGTCAGGATCCATTTCATGTTCTTCACCCCATTTTACAGACGAGGAAACTGAGGCTTGGAGAGGAGGCATAACTTGCTCAGGGTTGCACAGCTCAGCATGTGGATTTCATCCTATTTTAAAGTCACAGACCCATTTGCACAGATCCATTAGAATTAACCTTTCACCTGCTACTCTCTTTCTTCTTAGATACCAAGAAGGGAGAGAGAGGAAGAGCTGTTAGAAGCTTGTTTGCACAGTCTAGGGGGAAGCACAAACAGGATAGGGGATTAAGTGAGGAAGTGGAGAGCCATGGGCAGAGACATTTTCTGGTCTGTTTGGACAGTCTGTTGACGCACTGCAAAATAGCAAAAAGGTTCTTTCATCAGTCTACGTTTCAGAGTGGCAATTTTGAGAACAACTCGTATTCTTTCAGGTGCCTATTAGTGACTCTGGATTAGGAGGATTGCACTCAATCTGATTTCACACTTACAGTTACAGACAATGGCAATATAGTGGACAGAACTTTGATTCTGATCCTGATTCTACTACTGACTAGCAGCATGACCTTGGGCAAGTCACTTCTTGTCTCTGAGTCTCTATTTCCTCGACTGTAAAATGGGAATACACTTGCACTATCTCAGAAGGGCATTAAGGGGAAAGTGGCCTGAAACATGCTCCTCCATCCCCAATCTGTTGAATCCTTTCCTTTCTTCAAGGTCCATCTCTGGTGCTACTCCCTCCATGAAGCCTTCTCCCATAACCCTTTGCTCCCAAGGGCCCTCAAAGAGCCAGAGAGGCTGGGCCACTGTCATCTTTGGTGGACTTGTATCTATGATTAAAACCCATTAAGATATAGGACAACACAAGACAGGGTCTAGAGCAGGCCTGTACAACATATGGCCCCCAGGCCACTTGCCACCGGTCAAAGGATTTTAGGTGGCCCAGCGAAAAATGTAGGGTTGCCACTGTGCACTCTCCTGTTTGTCACGTGAACCTCGGCAATCAACCATCAGGCTGTCTCTAGTCTAACCTATCTGCAACCCTGATGAAGTTTACAAGTTGTGCAGGTCTGGGCTAGATGAAAGTGTGTGGTTTGGAGACTAGCACATCCAAGTACCCATTGTAGGAACTCACATTGCTTAGTCCCATTCTGGGACTTTCTGAGGGGAATCCTCAACCCTGACTTCATCTCTGGTCACATTGGTGCTAGCTTTTCCAGAGTGTCTTCCTTTTCTATTTCCCATGGACTTTTGGCTGACTTTAATAGTTATGGAGTGGAAGAAGTAACTTACTATATAATTTCTCGGATTTATTGACTATTATTTGAACTGATGTGAATTTCAGGGCTTTGTTGGAATAAGTATGGGAGAGTTTGCCTCCAGTTCAGGCAGCCATCTTGACCAGAAGTCCAATTCCTCCATTTAGAGTGGAGAAAATAGGCCTAGAGAGTGGAAGGGAATTGTATGAGACCACTGAGCTAGCCTACCTTAATAACCCACATTAGTAACCTTGGTCCTCTGCCTCCAAGTACAATCCTCTTTGGAAACCTTCCTCTCCAGCTGAATCTGCTTCCCTGTTTCCTCAGGCTTTTCTCTTCCTTTTCTGAAACAACAATGGGGGTGATTTGACAATGTCTTCATTTTGCAAAGCCTCCTATTATTAGTGTGGGCTGTGGAAGGAAGGGAGTAGATCTAAGGACTCGTTCATGACCTCCTAAGGTCCTTTGAAACAATTAGAGAATAAGACAGTTTATAATCAAGTGTGCCCAATACTGGGATGGGGGCAGGGGAGAAGGTACAAAAATAAACAGAAGGTAGTATGGCCTTGGTGGGAGGACATCTGGGTTCAAATCTCAGCTCTGCTACTTCCTACCTGTGTGACATTGGGTAGTCACTTCTCCTCTCTGGGCCTCAGTTTCCTCTGCTGTAAAATGAGATGACCTTTAAAGTCCTTTCTAGCTCCACATCTATGGAGTGAGGTTTTCGACTGTGTGTGTGTGTGTGTGCTCTGTTTGGACAAGGCTATTTCCTCTTCCAGCAGCTCTTTACACTCTCCATTTTCATTCTGTGGAGCCTACGTCTTTTGGCAGCAACCTTTTTGGCATCTCCTAAAACCAATATGGCCCTGGACAGGTCAGGATTCTGCCTTGGCCTTAGCCTTGACTTTGATGAGAGTGTGAATGAATAAATAATCAGTGGAGAAGATTCTTAATCTTTTTTTTTTTGGCAGTTGGGGTTAAGTGACTTGCCCAGGGTCACACAGCTAGTAAGTGTCAAGTGTTTGGTCTGAGGCTGGATTTGAACTCAGGACCTCCTGACTTCAGAGCTGGTGCTCTATCCACTGCACCATGTAGCTGCCCCTAAGATTCTTAATCTTTAGAGCAAAGCTACTGTCTTTTTTTTTCCAAAAGTTTTATTGTATTCTTTGTTTTTGGCACAATAGTCATTTCTCTTCAACTTCCCCTGGCCCTCACTGACCTCTTTCCCCTAAGGAAGGAAAATACTGAAGCCAAGCTGACCAGCAGTGTATATAGTATATACGTTATTCCACGCTTGTACACTCACCCGCTCTACTGAGTGGAGGAAGATGTGTTTGCTTATGAATCTTCTCCTACTAAGATGAGTCATTAGAATCAGTCAGGAGTCCTCTCCCCCTCTCCACTACCCCCTCCCTCCCCGGGCAGGGCAGGGGGAGGGTTGTTGTTATCTTTTACATTATTGGTTCATTATGCTTATTGTTCATTCTGCTTCCTTCTAGCCCTACTTCTGAGGAGCTGAACCTAGCCTGTGATTCCACTCCTTACTCTCTCTTCCATCCAAGGAACACAGCGAAACTTTCCATATAGATATCATCTTTGCTCTTCAGCAAACAGCTGTGTCAAGCTAGAAGTCAAATCTAGCTACATCTTTGCCTCTGACCCCTTATTAGCATCAGACCCACCTCACTCACCCTGATTCTGCAACTAAGGGCTAAGAGGAGATTGGCAAACAGAGCCCTCTTTGAATTTTCTGGGTATGCAACAGCTGCTACCAGGCTTTTTTCATAAGTAAGTGGATGGGGTAGGTGTTCAAATCCCAAATGAACTCAATACCCACATCTTGTTTACTTTTATATCCCTAGGCTTCCAGGAGTTCAGCACCTTTCTAATCCTATTCATTCACTCACTTAATCTGCAAGCATTTATTAAGCCCTACTATGTGCCAGAGAGAGGCTACTTGTTGGAGAGTATAGAGGGAG